GAGAGGTGAGGTGGTAAAACGGAGAGGACGAGGAGATGAGGGGAGGAGAGAGAGGCGAGGAGGGTGAGAGGGAGGAGAGAGAGGGAAGAGAAAAGGAGGAGAGGGATGAGGTTTAAAAGGGGGCGGAGAGGAGATGGGGGGGAAAAAGCGGACGAGGAGATAGGCAGGGATGAGACGAGTGAGAGGAAGGGAAAGGGAGCGACTTAGGGAATGGGGGCGTGGGTTAAAAAGGGAAGGGGGCGTGAGAGAGGAGATGGGGGGGTTTAAAAAAAGGGAGGGGGGGTGAGAGGGGAGATGGGCGGGTAAAAGGGGACAGGAGAGGGGAGAGGAGATGAGGCGGTTAAAATGCGGGAGGGTGGTGAGCGAGAGAGGGGAGAGGAAGGCGGTAGAAAAGGGAGATAGGGGAGAGGGAGAGTCGGAGCTGCGTGTCTACGCGTATCGAAGACAGGGTAAAAGGGGAGGCCAGCAGGTTTGGAGAGGGTGAGTGTGGAAGCGGGTAAAAGAGGGGTGAGAGAGGTGAGAGGGAATAGGGAGAGGGGCGAGACGGAGATTGAGGGGTAAAAAGGAAAGATTGGGGGTTTAAACCCGAGGAGGGAGAGGGAGATGGGGAGGAGGGAAGCAGAGATGAGGGATTAAAAAAGGGGGGGTGAGATATGAAAAAATGTGACAAGTAAAATGCGTATGTTAAACGTTTTATGCGAGGAAAGTATAATGTGTTTAATGAGTAAGGAATAGAGGTGTAATTTTCTCAGGGGAGGGATGAGGAGTACTGAATATATGTTGTGGTATAAAACGTAGGTGCGAGAGTAAAGATGATGCATAGTTTTCATAGTCTATATTATTAGTCCACGATCTGCTGTATTACACACGAAGCAAGTAAACTACACACATGGGATGGCAAAGAACACATACAGTATGCATTCTACATTATCATAATGTATAGTATATGCATTTATCAAGAAACGTATTCTCCCTCTCTCTCTGCTGTCATCTGAACTAACTCTGCTCTGCTCTCCGCCCCCCGTGTGCACTCTCTCGACCTCCGATTCTCCGCCCGTCGTCTCGTCTAGTGTCTTGTAGTCTATCTGTCTTGTCGCTCTCTCTCTTCCCTCCCCTCTCTCTCTGTCTGTGTGCTCCTCCTCCCCTCTCTCTATCTTTGTCTATCTGTCTGTCTGTTTCCTCTGGTTTCGGTCCTGGGGTTGTGGCGCTCGCAGGCGGGGGGCGTAAAAAGGCGGGAGGGGGGAAGGAGAGAGGCTTGAGAGGATAAAGAGAGAGGGGAGAGGAGATGAGGTAAAAGGGAGAGGGATGAGAGGGAAAGAGAGAGGAGCACGTGAGAGGAAAGGGGAGGGGATGAGGAGATGGGTCTTCTTCGCCCTCTGAGGGTGAGAGGATAGAGGAAGAGAGAATAAGAGGAAAGGGAAGGGGGAGAGGGAATGAGGGGTAAAAAGGCGTTCGGGCGGGGAGACGGAGGGCAGACAGAAGAAAGGGCTGTGAGAGGAAAGCCCGGTAGGAGAGGAGATGCATAGGGTTTAAAAGGAGGGGGAAGGGGAGAAGAGATGAGAAGGAAAAGGGAGGGAGAGGACGGTTAAAAAGGGGGGGAAGAGTGGGAGAGATTGGTGAGGTGAGAGAAAGGGAGGAGAGGGAGCATGAGGGCGTAAAAGTGGGGTGGGAGGAGGGAGAGAATCACCCCTGAGACGGAAAGGGAGGGGGGAGAAGATATGGAGAGTAGTAAGAGGGAGGGGGGAGATTGGGGAAAGGAAGCAGAGGAAAGGAAGGATTAAAATGGTTTTTTTAAAAAGCGGAGAGAGAGAGGGAGAGCAGGATTGTGAGAATGAGTGGGAGGAAAGAAAGAGAGGAATGAGAGAGAAAAAGGAGAGAATAAAGGTGGAGCAGGGAGAGGGGAAGGAGAGGAAGAGAGGGAGTGAGGTAGGAGGGAGGAAGAGCGAATAGAAGAGAGAGGAAAGAGAAAAGAAAGACAGAGAGAGGAAAATTAAGAGAAAAGAGAGAGAAAGAAAATAAAAAAAGAGCGAAGAAAAAGAAAGAAAAAGAGAGAAAAACGGCAGAGAGAGACGAAAAAAAGAGAGAGAAGAAAGAGGAGAGAGAGAGGAAGAGAGAAGAGAGAGAAAGAAAAGAAACGATGAGAGGACCAACAAGAGAGAGATGACGAGAGAGAGAGAGAGAGAAAGAAAAGAAACGAGAGAGACAAAGAGAGAGAGAAGAGGAGAATAGAAAGAAACGAGAGAGAGAGGGGGGTAGAGGAGGGGAGAGAGAGATAAGAGCGGGAGAAGGAGAGATGAGAGGGGGGGTAAGGAGGAGAGGAGAGATATAGAGAGAAGGGGAGATAGGAGGAAGAGAGAGATAGAGACGAGGGAGAGAAGAGATGCGAGGGTAGGGAGGGGAGGAGAGATAGAGAAGAAGGGGGTAAGCGAGGGAGCAGGATTGGGGGGGGGAGAAGGGTTAGAGCCACCGCAGCTCTATCAATCAATGAGAGGTCAGAATCAACACGAGCGGTGCCTCGTAAACCCCCTCCCCCCCCCCTGTTTCACCCCCGTCCTCCCCCTCCCCCTCCCCCCCTCGACTTCCGGTGCTGCCAAATCTGTCGCACGCAATTGTCCAGCTTCAGTCACGATAGAGCAGGGCGGAGTGGGATGTGTTTGGGGAGGAGGTGGGGGAGGGGGTGATGGTGATGTATGGTGGGGGAGGAGGTGGGGGGAATGGGGGTGATGGTGCGGGTGGAGGTGGGTGGGAGGGGTGGAGGTAGGGGAGTGGGCTGTGAGAGGGAGGGGGTGATGTGCATAGCTGTATGGAGGGAGAGGTGGAGGGGATGGAGGTGAGAGGGAGGGCTGATGGTGGGGGAGAGAGGTTGGGGGTGATGATGGGGGAGGAGGGAGTGATGAGCATGATGGTGGGGGAGAGAGATGGGTGTGAGTGGTAGGGGACGGGGGCAGATGGTGGGAGGTTGAGAGGTAGGTAGTGATGGTGAGGAGATGAGGAGTGAGAGGTGATGAGAGGAGGAAGCAGGGGTGGGAATGAGAAGGTGATAGGGGGGTGGGTGTGGTGACGGTGCGGGGGGGGGAGGGGGGATGGTGCATGACTGTGGCCAACCAAAAAACAGATCGCAATTAAAGCGATTTTTACACATCAAAAAAAAATATTTTATTCCAGTCAAATGAATGTATTTATCACATCACATAATGACAGAAATAAATGTGTAGTTATGGTGGTGATGATTAGTGAATGATTATTATGTGATAGTTGATGATAATGAGGTGTATTGGATAATTAAATTGATGGTAATTAAGATGAATTGATCGTAATTATGATTGAAATTCATTGGAATCTATAATGAAATGATGATTATTTTGATGGTGGTCATGCGATCAAGGTGATGATGATGAAAGTGATGACTATGATGGTAGTGATGATGAGTAGCAAATAATTATCATTATTGTCCATGTCGCCATAATGATAATAGTTATGATAGTCATTATTATTGCTTTCATCATTGTCATTTTCACGATCATGAGGATGGTGGTAGTGAGGGCCTATATATGTGTGTGCTGGTGTATATTATATATTATATATATATATATTATATATTATATATATATATATATATANATATATATATATATTATATATACATATATATATAATATATATTATAATATATATATATAATTTTATATATATATTTAATATGTATATATGTTATTATATATTACTATATATATATATATATATATATATATATATATATATATTTATGTATATTGTATTGTATGTTATATATATATATATATATATATATATATATATATATATATATTATATATATATAATATATATAAATATATATAATATATTTATATTGTATATAATATATATATATATATATTATATATATTATATATATAATATATATAATATATATATATATTAAATATATATAATATATATATATATATATTATATATATTGTATATATGTATTATAATATATATATATATATTAATATATATATATATATATAATATATATTATTATATTATTATATAATATATATACTAATATTATATTATATATGGCTCAGGTGTGCTGAGCCATGTGAATTTTTGTGTGAAGTGCTCCTTATTAAGTTTTGTAGATTGACCTCTTTATGTGATGGAAGGAATTATTGCTGTAGATTTATGAGATAAATGAAATTTATTAAGGTATTCCTGGTTTGAGGTTTTCATTTTCAATACCTCTCTCCAAACCTACATTTCTTGAGGTGCACCTTTTACCATGTATACTGAAAAAAAATAAAATTATGCAGACTAGAAAAAATGGATCTTGAGAATGGTTTTACGTCATAAGGTGGTTAGCAAATCGCTGGAAATCAATTGATGGCGCTGTTCCGCATTGATAATTTCACTTATCAGTGAATATGTGTATATGTATACATTATATATATATATTATATATATATTAATATAATATATATATATATATATATATATAAATATATATATAGATATTATAGATAATAGATAGATATAATATAGATATATGATATATATATATATTATATAATGTGAATGTATTGGAAATATTAATGTATATATATAGATATATAAAATATATATAGATATATAAATAATATAAATATATAAATACATATTAAAATAATATAGATATATAAACACACACAGAACACACAAACACACACACACAAACCACACATATATATATATATATATATATAAATATATATATATAATATAATATATATATATATAATACATACACAGTATACGTACACACATGTAACATACATCCAGTGGCGGACCTTTCCTTGAGCACTTTATTTTTTTTTCCTGAACCGAAAATCGTCCTGTTAACCGAGTAAACACAACTGAAGTTAGGATTGTTTTGCCATCTATTGTTCTGTTGTACAAAGTGTTCATGTAATGAATATTACAATCCATGTGTTTTTTCTAAGGATATTTTCTTTACAGAAGATCATGAATACTGTTCACGGGATTTGCTCTATAACGAAGAATGCAGAAATTACTTTGGAAATGAATCCAACTCCACAAGAATCCTTGAAGTTGAAAGATTTCGCATCAGCAGGGATAAACAGGGTTTCACTTGGAATACAGGTTTGTTTATCACTGATTTATAGATTTTATTGCACATACATATATATCTTTTTATCTTTTGAAGGCACAATTAAAATCCTGAAACAATGAAAAGCTGACAGTGGCAAATGATTATCAAGTACTCATGGCCGAGCCACACTGGACAATTTAGGGGCCGTTCCCTGCGGAGTTAGAAGTATTTGTTTAACTACATCAGTATGTATTGAAAATTGATGCAAACATGAATTTATACTTGAATGTAGCTGTCCAATTCATATTTTGTAAAGAAAAAAGTCTAATAGTGGTCTGAGCAGGAGTAACGTTCCACATACAGTTGATGTCAGGGATACAGTTCGTGTATTGCTCGCAATCTTTTTCAGTGGTTATTTTTGTTTATCATTTTCTGAGATATGAGTGTACTTTGAGCAAACATTATTGTTTTATAATGATATTTCATAAATATTACTTCAACACCTCATCATCATCTTCATCGTGACCTAAGATGGAGCCTGTTCTTATGTCTGCGCAAACTTCACTGACAAAGCAGCCTCCCACTCAATTTATGTCTTGTCTATACTTATCTATCAGAAAACATCTTATGTCATACCACCCTTTCAAACCATCCTTCTTAGCAGTTAGATCCCAGTTAGTTCAGTCTACTTCTCCCCTTCCTACCCCATTGACTTTGTGGCCATCATAAAGTGTGAGAGCCATGCTAAAAGGATGTAATCCGTTTGTTATTCCGTCTTTATCATTTTCACTACCATACTAACCAATAACTCTCTACAGCCTTATGTAACATATTTTGACCTAACTGCTTTTTTTTTTTTTTTTTTTTTTTTTTTTTTTTTTGCCGCAATACTTTGTCATTATGTAGTAAGACCTTTCCTTACCTGGGAGCTTCGCCCCCAAGCTTTGCCTAATTTCTATATATTGTATACGTTGCTAATGACTTAGATTAGTTCTGCGATATATGTATCATATAAGGGAAAATGTCTCAGCTTGTGTATAGTTTGCATTATATTCTAACATAGGTGCGACGGTTATTACACATAAAGATATATTCAGAAATGCGGCAGCTTGGCTGTTTTTGCTTTATTGGCTTTGATTTTATGACTTTTAGGTATCAGCACTATCCTCTGTTCGGGCAAACATCGCACACTAACCAGCTAGAGTCATGCTATGTCTGTGTTGGGGCGGATTCACAGACGCACTTAACTTACCAGTTACCATCGTAAACAGAAAGCGTTGGTATTCACTAACAACGACCAGTGGAGTTAGCATGGAAGATTTTACCAGTGGTTGAAGCACAGGTATATCTGCTGGTAACTTCAGGGACGACGATGTTATCATGTTATCTCATACAAAAATATTCAGGCAAAGTTTTTTGTTTTGATAGCTGGTTGACTGCACATGTCATAATAAGGACATGATGTAGATATGCAAATTTTAGTTAAAACGGGCAAAAATAACGCCCACACATATAAATAGGTAGGATTAAAACTACATGAGTATGTAAGGATATGGAATCGATAGACTAGTGAACTTCTAAAATATTCTTCTCAAACGTCATTATTACAAATTCTAAAGAAAAAGTTGATTGATACATGGATTAGTAATGGGAAACTTTAACATTAATACAGCTCCTATGACAAAAAAACAACTAACTCCAAACGTTGTTGTGCAAAAACGAGTATAGATTATTTCCTTTGCTTGACGATCAATGGCGATTAATAAACATGTGTTTGGCAATGAAGAGAAATGAGTAAAAAGATAAACTGTTTAGACTGATTCCTTAATTGACGGTAAATTATGATGTTATTATCTCGGTACCAGTGTCTGTACTGGTTCTTGTGTTGACGGTGAATAGCCAAAGAGCTCTTTTAAGATCCCACATGATGGTTATGATTTTAAAATATGCTTATATGGTGCTTTAGCGGCAACCATAATTTTAAGATGTATCGAGTTTTTGTCTACATGTTACGTGATTGGCAGGAGCGAAAAAAAATCGTGTATGAGGCTGATTGGCGAAATGCTTGCTATCAATTTACGATGGTGATTCTGTTGAGGCTAGTTATCATCTCTTTGTGAAATCCATTTAACCATCCATGGTAAACGCGATAGTAACTGACTGCTGGTAAATGCGTTACGATCGAATGTTAGTGAATCCGGCACCTTATTGGTTGGCAGTAGGCAGATCTCCCAACCCACTTCCGGTTCGAAATCTCACTGAACTGAATTGAGAATTGATCCAGTACCACTGCCCTCAGTCAAGTTGTGGCTGGAGGTGACCTTAGAACTCCAGTCACGACTCCACGTCACCCGCAGTGCATAGCCATCATACTGGGCGTCACCTGCAGTGCATAGCCATCATACTGGGCGTCACCTGCAGTGCATAGCCACCATACTGGGAGTCACCTGCAGTGCATAGCCATCATACTGGGCATCACCTGCAGTGCATAGCCATCATACTGGGCGTCACCTGCAGTGCATAGCCATCATACTGGGCGTCACCTGCAGTGCATAGCCACCATACTGGACGTCACCTGCAGTGCATAGCCACCATACTGGGCGTCACCTGCAGTGCATAGTCATCATACTGGGCGTCACCTGCAGTGCATAGCCACCATACTGGGGGTCACCTGCAGTGCATAGCCATCATACTGGACGTCACCTGCAGTGCATAGCCACTATACTGGACGTCACCTGCAGTGCATAGCCACCATACTGGGCGTCACCTGCAGTGCATAGCCACCGTACTGGGCGTCACCTGCAGTGCATAGCCACCATACTGGGCGTCACCTGCAGTGCATAGCCATCATACTGGGCGTCACCTGCAGTGCATGGCCACCATACTGGGCGTCACCTGCAGTGCATAGCCACCGTACTGGGCGTCACCTGCAGTGCATAGCCATCATACTGGGCGTCACCTGCAGTGCATAGCCATCATACTGGGCGTCACCTGCAGTGCATAGCCACCATACTGGGCGTCACCTGCAGTGCATAGCCACCATACTGGGCGTCATCTGCAGTGCATAGCCATCATACTGGGCGTCACCTGCAGTGCATAGCCACCATACTGGGCGTCACCTGCAGTGCATAGCACCATACTGGGCGTCACCTGCAGTGCATAGCCATCATACTGGGCGTCACCTGCAGTGCATAGCCACCGTACTGGGGTCACCTGCAGTGCATAGCCACCATACTGGGCGTCACCTGCAGTGCATAGCCACCGTACTGGGCGTCACCTGCAGTGCATAGCCACCATACTGGGCGTCACCTGCAGTGCATAGCCATCATACTGGGCGTCACCTGCAGTGCATAGCCATTATACTGGGCGTCACCCGCAGTGCATAGCCACCGTACTGGGCGTCACCTGCAGTGCATAGCCACCGTACTGGGCGTCACCTGCAGTGCATAGCCATCATACTGGGCGTCACCTGCAGTGCATAGCCATCATACTGGGCGTCACCTGCAGTGCATAGCCATCATACTGGGCGTCACCTGCAGTGCATAGCCATCATACTGGGCGTCACCTGCATGCATAGCCATCATACTGGGCGTCACCTGCAGTGCATAGCCACCATACTGGGCGTCACCTGCAGTGCATAGCCATCATACTGGGCGTCACCTGCAGTGCATAGCCACCATACTGGGCGTCACCTGCAGTGCATAGCCACCATACTGGGCGTCATCTGCAGTGCATAGCCACCATACTGGGCGTCACCTGCAGTGCATAGCCATCATACTGGGCGTCACTTGCAGTGCATAGCCATCATACTGGGCGTCACCTGCAGTGCATAGCCATCATACTGGGCGTCACCTGCAGTGCATAGCCACCATAATGGGCGTCACCTGCAGTGCATAGCCACCATACTGGGCGTCACCTGCAGTGCATAGCCACCATACTGGGCGTCACCTGCAGTGCATAGCCATCATACTGGGCGTCACCGCGGTGCATAGCCACCGTACTGGACGTCACCTGCAGTGCATAGCCACATACTGGACGTCACTGCAGTGCATAGCCACCATACTGACGTCACCTGCAGTGCATAGCCACCATACTGGGCGTCACCTGCAGTGCATAGCCATCATACTGGGCGTCACCTGCAGTGCATAGCCATTATACTGGGCGTCACCCGCACCCGCAGTGCATAGCCACCGTACTGGGCGTCACCTGCAGTGCATAGCCACGACTGGGCGTCACCTGCAGTGCATAGCCACCGTACTGGGCGTCACCTGCAGTGCATAGCCACATACTGGGCGTCACCTGCAGTGCATAGCCATCATACTGGGCGTCACCTGCAGTGCATAGCCACCATACTGGGCGTCACCTGCAGTGCATAGCCACCACTGGGCGTCACCTGCAGTGCATAGCCATCATACTGGGCGTCACCCGCAGTGCATAGCCATCATACTGGGCGTCACCGCAGCGCATAGCCACCGTACTGGGCGTCACCTGCAGTGCATAGCATCATACTGGGCGTCACTGCAGTGCATAGCCATTATACTGGGCGTCACCCGCAGTGCATAGCCACCGTACTGGGCGTCACCTGCAGTGCATAGCCACCATACTGGGCGTCACCCGCGTGCATAGCCACCGTACTGGGCGTCACCTGCAGTGCATAGCCACCATACTGGGCGTCACCTGCAGTGCATAGCCACATACTGGGCGTCACCTGCAGTGCATAGCCACCGTACTGGGCGTCACCTGCAGTGCATAGCCATCATACTGGGCGTCACCTGCAGTGCATAGCCATCATACTGGGCGTCACCTGCAGTGCATAGCCATCATACTGGGCGTCACCTGCAGTGCATAGCCATCATACTGGGCGTCACCTGCAGTGCATAGCCATCATACTGGGCGTCACCTGCAG